CCTGAGCACGCCCAGGTCCACACACACACGTGAGCATGCCCAGGTCCGCACACACACGTATGTGAGTGTGCCCAGGTACACGCACGCACACGTACCTACGTACGTGCGTGTGCCCAGGTACACACACGCACACGAGTGTGCCCACACGCATTACCTCTCGGGTACACACCCATCACAGTCCCGGGGGAAGAGGGCCCAGCAAAACACCACAGGAGCAGCCATGGCTCACAGAACAAAGCGATTTTTCCAATTTTGAGCAACAATCGACATATTTAAGCAGGTTGTTGATAACTGGGTGGTAGTACACAATTTGGCTTTCTCCCACTTTATATATCCGTAAACACGGCAGCCTCTTTCAGACATCTGGGGTTAAATGTAGTCTTTTCTAAATTTACATGCAGTGTGTACGTGTATATATACACATGTACGTATATATACACCCATAGGTGTGTGTTACACATACATGTGTACACTTATGTACAAACACACATGTGTATACACACATATGTCTCAGTTGCCTGCCCACCACAGCCCCAGGGGGAAGAGGGGCCAGCGAAACAGCACAGGGCAAGCCGTGGCTCATGGCACGAAGCAATTTTTCCAGTTTTGAACAACTATCAACATATTTAAGCAGGTTGTTGCCGGTGTGATAGTACACAACTCAGCTTTCTCCAAGTTTGATTTATGAAAGGGTGTTGCTTTTATCACACACGGTGCAGCTTCTCTAGGAGTAGAGTGTCCACAAGAACAAGGTAGAATTTTACACCTGTAGATTTATACGTTTCTATAACAAGTATTCCTATAATGAGTCTTTTAAAAAGTTCCTTAAATATTGCTAAACAACAAACCATGCAGCAAAGCATCTTATTCAGAATAGATGTGCAATTGTACCTTTTCTTCTACCCACTACCAGTGTTTGGGGTAAGCCTCCCCCCCTCCCAACCTCCCTGGGAGAAAAAAAGAAAAAAAAAAAAAGTTTTATTCTTCTCTGAAATACTGATGCCCAGAGGGAGTTATTCCATTAGGCTGCATAAATAAAAAACCACCACCACAAAACAGAACAGTGTAATAAAGCATTTTAGTAGTAACCAGAATTCAAAATCATCCAGGCTGAAAAGTCTCATTTTCAAATAACTCTCACGAACTTCCACTCTCAACTACTTGGCTTAAGTGAGATCATGATGTTGCAACGTTCTTCCCAGTTCATCTCTTGAAGATACTTTCCCCTTCATAGACCAGAAAACTTGCAACTGTTTTTTTCTGATTCTTCCTACTCATGAAAATTTAATGGAGGGTGGGAAATAATGGCAAAGCTAAGAACAGAACTGCATGGTAGTCACCAAGCCCGTTCTGTCATTAAGAACCAGCTGCAGAGCAGGAAAAACTTAATTTGTCTTATGTTGGAGTTAGTACCTCTCCTTGTTATTTCCTGTCCCAGTTTTGTGGGAACACTGAAGTTTTTCACAACAGGAATGTCTCTCAAATCCATAGCACAGAATAAGTTATGTAGTGAGCTAATAAAAACACGAACATGTTAGCTGAAAACATGTTGAGCTTTTTATGGCATATGCCTGTTCATTATTATCTACATTTCTATAACTTATCTTAAAGAAAATTGTGTTGGGCAGAGACACCCATCATCTTTTCTATTGACAAGCGCAACATTTAAAAAAAAAAAAAAATGAAGTGTTTTACAAAGAAACACAGCCTAACACAGACCACTTTCTGTACAAATTTCAGTAAATTAGCAATTTGAAGTGCTTTAACTCTTGGAATTACATTACGTATAAGCCAATCGTAGACAATAAAACTTGTTTTAGGACTTACATTTCATCACTTAAAGATACTGGTCCTTCCATCCTTATCAGCCTTTAAGGGTATCATAAGCTACTCATTTTCATATCCAAAAGCACTAAAGAATTCATAGAAGGCTACACCATCTAACATGAGATGAGTTTCTTATCTGAAACCTCAAGGACATGAGCATCTTGATCTCTTTTTCCTTATGTATGAACCCTTTTGAAAGACAGTATGCATGAGCAGTCTCTGCATAAACGCCTACATGCTTTTTCCTCTGGATATCAGGTGACTCCTGTGTACTCTTAGAAGACATAAGAGCATTAAATCCTTTGATTTGATCAAGTAATACATGTGCCCATGACAAAATGGTTCCTTCTTCAGACACAGAAGTTGAATAGGTATGCTACAATTCCTACAGGACATTAATAGCAAGAAACTAGCCCCATGCTGTTGGCCACTCCACTGCCTCCCTCATCATGATGTGGATAAAGCTATGTAAGTATTCAGGTGAACATTAAAATGTCGGTAGAAAAAAAAAAATAATAATCTCCCTGAAATCTGTCCTATCCATTAAATTTTCATGGGTAAGAAAAGTCAGGAAAAAAAACAGATAGCAAAATAGGACACTACCTCTGATACAAGTACAAAGCTATTAAAAAATTGCTACTTCTCTGTCACTCTGAAGGAGAGTTAACTAGCTCATGTTGAATAAAGGCAAAGTTTCATTTTCAATTATTTCATGTGCAGCTTTCTAGTGAAGGGAGTAAGAAAGCTGCTCTCAGGATTTTGTTTTGGGGTTGGTTTTTTGTTTTTGTTTTGGGTTGGGTTTTTTTTTGGTCAGGCCGAGAATGGATCGCAGGAACGGTTCTTGATCTGTTTTAACATCAATCACATCTGTAAGATTACCTCACAGACATAAGAACTGGAGTTTTTAATTATTATTTGTAAATTAAAGATTTTAAGGCACAGTATTTCAGTTAATCAAAAATCCATTTAGTTACCAAACTATTAAAAGGCATATTTTAACCTTAAATGAGGGTAAGTTACTGCCATGTATCATCATAAAATTCTCACTTGTTGATTATGAACTTTCTCCCTAAAGCAGGTACGTGCAGAAGGTAACACTGACACAAGAAAGAAGCTATGCAGAGACCATCTAATAACTATTAATCAATTCAATTAATCCAAATCTGAGCCCTTGGGAAGAAAAAGAAAAAAAAAAAAACAAAAAACAGACTGCAGAATTTTTTTTTTTTTTTTTTTTTTTTTTTTTTTTTTAAGTCCTCCAAATCAAGCAGACTCGACCCATGACTGAGAGGTTACACAATGGAAGCAATTTCCAGTGAGCTGTGAAGGGAATCAGAGTTCCTAACAAAGAAAGAAGGGGTTTCCTTCACCCCCACCACCCCCCCATCCTCATTCTCCAGTCTGAGGATGACATTTACTGGTGCAGACAAGCACGTAAACATACAAGGTCATGCTCTTGAGTTTTACTCACATCTCATACTGGAGATGTATCTTCTATTTCAGAAAATCTATGATTATCCTTCTAATCTTTCTTGAAGAGGATATTCATCCTTCATCTAAGGAGATTCAAAAAGATCTCTTGAGGACCCTGCTTTTGGATACAGGCAGTAACTGTAAGAACTCTAAGGGCTGTAGGAATTCAGGGCTATCTTCAAATAACCATTTCCTTTAAAGTAAATCATAGGAAAAATGAGGACTTAAAACAAAAGTGCTTTTTATTTTTAAACAAGCTCTACGTAAGGCCAAAGAGGCAGAAGAAAATCACTTGTCTCTCCAACACACTAAGTCATTGCCAGGAAAATAGATTGGGGGGGGGGGGG